GGAGTATATACTAGTAGTAAACAGAAAGTAGACATGTGAATAATTGACCACAACCTAATAACAATCCATTCTTAGTAATACCTACTCACTAACCAGTATTCATATACATGCATTCTCATTTTAGAGAAAACTCAAAAGTTGAGAGGAAGAAAAGACAAGAAATAATATGTAAGCCCACACCACCTCGGCAATACCGGAGTTAAGCACAACCAGAACCGGCACGCAAACCAACCCCCATCGTCATTCCCGGTATCAGTCAGTCAGTCAGTCAGACCTGGCTGGCTGGGCTGGGCTAGCTAGCCCGAACCAAAGCTCCGCAATCATCCATCCTCATCCCTCCCATTCCAACTGATCCATCCCCTCTTTTCAAATTACAATCCTCTCTTCTCATCTCCTCAGAGCGAGGGAGAAAATACAATGAGATGCAGCAAATATTCCCACTAAATAAATAAATAAATAGGAGCCTGGAGAAATAAAAACATTTCGCTTTTTCACCTACCGCTACTCGAGTCGGTCCGCGACGCACGCAGCTACGTTCGTTCGTTCCCCGCAGTGGGCGGAAAAGCTGGATTGGGACCACCACGACGACGATACGCTACGCTACGCAAAACCTCGGGGACCATATGATATACTTATACTGCATTTATAGGGATTGATAAATATTCTGCGGAGATGGCTTATGTGGTGCCGATTCATCGGGCGAGTAGCATTCGGAATGCGCTCAAGTTGCATTTCTTGAATGCGGAGGAGGAGAACTTGGTTGTTGCGTTGGTGGCCCCCTTTTCTTTTCTTCCCTTTGCTTTGCTTGTTCGCAATGCTTGGTGATTTTTTATGTATGAGTGAGGGATGTGTTTGCTGATTGGTCTTGTGTGTTGGAATTATAGAAAGGCGAACCGTCTCGAAATATACTCCCTCACGCCAGAAGGGCTGAACCTGGCAGCGTCATGTTCTCTCTTCGCCAAGGTTACAATGCTAGCTCGGCTTCCTGCGCCTGCGAACTCGCCTACGGATCATTTGTTTGTCGGGACGGATCGATACACTTATTGCACGTTGTCGTGGGATGGGGAGAGGAATCAGATCCGGACGGAGAGGAACTATGTTGATATATCTGATCCTTCGTCGCGGGAGGCGCAGACGGGGAATCGATGCTTGATTGATCCGAGTGGGCGGTTTATGACGCTCGAGGTGTATGAGGGCGTTATTGCTGTTGTGCCGATTGTGCAGTTGCCGAGTAAGAAGAGGGGGAGACAGGTTGCTCCGCCTTCCGGACCGGATGCGCCTCGGGTCGGGGAGTTGGGGGAGCCGACGACGGCGAGGATTGATGAGCTGTTTGTGCGCTCGTCTGCCTTCTTGCATGTTCAGTCGGGCCCGCCTAGGTTGGCGTTGCTGTATGAGGATAATCAGAAGAAAGTGAGGCTCAAGGTTCGTGCGTTGCATTATAGTGCGGCGACGTCGAGTACGGGGGCCGATGCCGCGTTTGAGGAGTCGCTGGATGGGTTTTCGCAGGAATTGGATCTCGGAGCGTCGCATCTTATACCGGTTCCGGCGCCTTTAGGTTTGTGGTTCTCTTGTTGTGGTTTGTTGTCGCTTTTGGAATGATGCTGATCTGTTCGTGATATGCAGGTGGCTTGCTTGTCCTGGGAGAGACGTCCATCAAGTATGTTGATACGGACAGTAACGAGATTGTGTCGCGTCCTTTGGATGAAGCGACAATTTTCGTGGCTTGGGAGCAGGTAGATAGTCAGAGATGGCTTCTAGCTGATGATTATGGAAGACTGTTTTTCCTGATGCTAGTCCTGGATTCTAACAACCAAGTACAATCCTGGAAGCTGGATCACTTAGGGAATACGGCTAGAGCTTCGGTGCTGATATACCTCGGTGGCGGAGTTATCTTCGTAGGATCTCACCAAGGGGATTCGCAAGTGCTTCGAATCGGCAATGGCTCATTGGAGGTCATCCAGACGCTCTCCAATATTGCGCCCATTCTTGATTTTACCATCATGGACCTTGGAAACCGTACCAGTGAAAGCCAGACACACGAGTTTTCTTCGGGCCAGGCTCGCATTGTGACTGGTTCGGGTGCATTTGATGACGGAACCCTTAGGAGTGTACGCAGTGGTGTCGGCATGGAAGAGCTCGGTGTTCTTGGTGAAATGGATCTCATTACGGACTTGTTCGGACTGCAGCTTGCGACAAAGGGTGGATACTTGGACACTCTTCTTGTTACCTTTGTCGATGAGACACGAGTTTTCCAATTCAATTTTGATGGCGAGGTTGAAGAGTTGGACAGCTTTCTTGGTCTCAGCCTTTCGGAGAACACACTCCTCGCTATGAACCTTCCTGGAGGAAGAATCTTGCAAGTCACGGAACAGAGAGTACTCATAGCAGATATTGAAGGCGGCATGGTCACCAATGAATGGACCCCGCCAGACCGATTAGTGATCACTTCTGCTTCTGCCAACAATGATTCGATTGTTCTTGTCAGCGGCGGCCAGGTTCTGACAGTCCTCGATATCAACAATGATGTTCGGGTTGTGGCTCAGAAAGATTTCGGAGCAGACAGCCAGATCTCAGGAGTCACGGTGCCCTTATCTTCGGCTGGGGTCTGTATCGTTGGCTTCCCTCAATTAGCGAAGGTCTCGGTTTTGGACCTTGGCCGGCTATCGGAGCTTCATACAACGTCGCTGGGCCCAGCTGGTGAAGCATTTCCACGATCAGTACTCGTCGCCGATGTCCTTGCGAATAGCCCCTCTACCCTCTTTATTTCGATGGCAGATGGCAGCGTTATCACTTACGCCTTCGACGCCAGTGACTACTCACTGACCGGGATGAACCGGCTCATACTCGGGTCTGAGCAGCCCACCTTCAAGAAGTTGCCTCGCGGCGATGGATTGTATAATGTCTTCGCCACATGCGAGAACCCCAGCTTGATATACGGCTCCGAAGGCCGCATCATCTACTCTGCGGTCAATTCGGAGGGTGCGTCTCGGGTATGCCACTTCAACTCGGAGGCGTATCCTGGATCGATTGCCGTGGCCACTAAGCACGACTTGAAGATTGCTCTCGTGGACAAGGAGAGGACAACACAGATCCAGACGCTCCCCATGGGCGAAACTGCCCGTAGGGTAGCATATTCACCTTCTGAGAAGGCTTTCGGTATCGGCACCATCGAGCGCAAATTGAAGGACGGGGCCGAGATGGTTCAAAGTCGCTTTGTGTTAGCTGATGAGATCATGTTCCGTCGTCTCGACGCCTTTGACCTTCGGCCGGAGGAGTTGGTCGAGAGTGTCATTCGCGCGGAGTTTTCTGCGGGCAAGGATGAAAATGGTCGGGACGTATTCAAAGATCGGTTCGTTGTGGGAACAGCATACCTAGATGATGAAAACGAAGAGTCAATCCGAGGTCGGATATTGGTCTTCGAGATTGACAACGGCCGAAAATTGACTAAAGTCGCCGAGTTGCCTGTCAAAGGTGCATGCCGCGCGCTGGCTATGCTAGGAGAGAAGATTGTGGCCGCTCTTGTGAAAACGGTAAGCTTCTGGATATCTTTGGCTGTGCTCCTTCCACTAAGCTCATATGGTTCAGGTCGTCATTTATGGTGTGGTGAACAACGACTTTGGCGCGATGAAGCTCGAGAAGTTGGCCAGCTACCGCACATCGACCGCCCCCGTCGACGTGACCGTAACGGGTAACGTGATTGCCGTCGCGGACCTTATGAAGAGTGTATGCCTGGTGGAGTACAGCGAAGGCGAGAATGGAATGCCGGATAGCTTGACAGAAGTCGCTCGTCATTTCCAGACCGTTTGGGCCACTGGCGTTGCCTGTATTGCCAAGGATACATTCCTGGAAACTGACGCTGAAGGTAACTTAATTGTCCTTCGACGCAATCTGACCGGTGTGGAGGAAGACGACAAGCGCAGACTGGAGGTAACAGGGGAGATCTCGTTGGGCGAGATGGTCAACCGCATCCGACCGGTCAATATTCAACAATTGGCGAGTGTGACGGTCACCCCGAGGGCTTTTCTGGGCACAGTATGAATCCCATCCCAACCGCTTGAGTGCTGAACACCTGTGACTAACCCATATGATTAACCCAACAGGTGGAAGGCTCCATCTATCTCTTTGCTATTATCAACCCAGAGCATCAAGACTTCTTGATGCGTCTGCAGGCAACCATGGCGGGCAAGGTCGAGTCGCTGGGGAACATTCCATTTAATGAGTTCCGTGGCTTCCGCAGCATGGTGCGAGAGGCGAAAGAGCCGTATCGCTTTGTGGATGGCGAGCTGATTGAGAGGTTCCTGACCTGCGAGCCGAGTCTCCAGGAAGAAATTGTGGACTCGGTGGGCATGATGAACGTTGATGAAGTAAAGATTATGATAGAAGCCTTGCGCAGGCTACATTGAGTGTGGCAGCTAGGATCTGAAGAGAAATAATGATTAGTTATGGTAAGATGAGGTTCGCAACTTGCACTGCCGTATCTGCACATGTTCATTGCTATGCTTTGCAGCACCACTTTCTTGGACTTGGGATAACTAACCTACATCACATCAAAGGCTCGGCAGCGATGTGTGAATCACACAGAGACCTTGGTGACCATGATCCGGACCAACAACCCCCCGCTTAACAAGGCTTGAACTTATCCCTCCACTAGCTTGTTAAACAGTCGTGCTCCAGCGGATCTTTCCAACTGTATACTTGACCCGCCTGACTGTGATCCACCAACAGCTACAGACCCGCAAATCTCCGCTTAGAAGTGCGAATGAATGAAAGGGAATGAAAAATGTGTTGCAGTCCGGACTTCATCTCGCACAATCCAGAGTGGATTGTCTATACTGTTTGCTCCGCTGTCGGGTCCATATCCCCGCGTAGATCTCTTCTAGATAGAATTCTTGTTCTCTTCCGCATCTCTAATCCTTCCCGTAACCGGATGACTATAACCCGTCTCATCCTACTACTACTACTACTACTCTGATACCAGCCATCAAGTATCCCCAATAGGCATGGCCAACATGAACCATTCAGTCTTTGATGACCAGAACGGGTCTGGTAACCCAGGATACGTCCAGGTTCCTGACGCGTCATTTCATCGACTTCGCCGGAAGGAAAGTGGTGCCTTCAATGCTCCTGCCCAGAGTGGCTTCCACTCAACACACTCTTCCAGAAAGGCAGTTGCTACGAACAGCGACCTTCTATCGATGTCGACCCCTCTTCATCCTTCAACTTCTTCAGCTCCCACATCATCTTCACCGTGTTCCAGTCATTCGTTGCGTACTGGCTTACTTCCATCTTCCCTAGCTACTCTATTATCGTGTATGTTATGTTATCTGGGGGTTTGGATCTTGCTTCCTTCCTATCTAACTGCCACTACAGATCCCAACTCCCCCGATCCGCACGGCTATTCTGCTGGTCCAAGTAAGTGTTAATCCCTGTTGGTCTGAAGCACCTATCTTGTGTCGACGTCCATTTCATTACCTACCTTTTTGGTGCTCAAACCCAACATCACTGACAATTACTGCAGAGATTGACTCGCATAGATACGGCACCATGCATACTGCTGTTCCAGAATCCGCTCAGGCTCCTGATACTCGTGGACTGTCCACTCTGCTCGGGGGCTTGAACATCCAGGGTCAGCGTCCCGGGGCCAAGTACAATGGTCTCAAGAGCAACATGCCGCTAGCTGTGCCCCCTTATAATCCCCTTGTTCTTCTCCCCAATGGAGCTTTCTTCGGAGGTCTTCCTTATGATCAGAACCCGTATCTACCCCCCACTGGCATCTATCCGGGCTTAGCTTCCCCATGCCCAGTGGTTCCCAGCCCTGCAGGCGACTTCTACCATGGAGCCACCCCGAACCTGGAAGGCCCTGGACTGCCTAGCTATGGTTATAATAGCTTTCCCCAGTCGGGACCTGCATGTTTACCTTTCCAGATGATGAAGACTCCTACTGGATACATCCTTCAGGATCTGGAAAGCCTAACCCAGCAAGATCCGCCTATTCCACGGGCTGTACCGGCTATGTGGACTAACCCTTCTGAACTGACCCTTGCCAAGTGCCTGGAAAACCGGGAGGGCATTACCAACGTCTACATCCGAGGCTTCCTTCCAGAGACTACGGATGAGATGCTGCATGCCTATGCCTCTCGCTTTGGAAAGATAGATCGATGCAAAGCGATTGTGGACTTGGATACAGGCCTTTGCAAAGGGTATGCAAGAGCCTGTTCCACGGACTGATGAGCTATGTGCTGACTGCACCCATAGATTCGGCTTTGTTCAGTACTACAACTTTGAGTCTTGTGAAAATTGCATCCGTGGTTTCTTCTATCTTGGCTACCAGGCTAGCTTTGCTCAGGTATATTTCAAGCTACCAGCCATCGTACCGTGCAACTAACAATTCTAGAAATCTCGCAACTCCCGTCTCAAGGACCTTGAAGACAAGTCATCCACTAACATCTATTGTACCAACATTCCGATTGAGTGGACAGAGGCCGTAAGCAGCAAGCTCTAATAAGAGACCATACAAATAAAGTTGACCATAACTACAGGATCTCCGTCATCACTTTGAGCCGTACCATGTCATCTCGGAGAAGATCAGCCGTGACGAGAAGACTGGAGTGAGCAAGGAAGTTGGATTTGCCCGGTGAGTAGTTGTTACAGAACACTCGGATGAAAGGTATGATCCTTGGACTGATGACCTCGTACTAGGTTTGAAACCCGTGAAATCGCTGAAAAAGTCCTGTCTGAATATCATAATGCGGTTGCCAAAGACGGTGTGAAATTGCTTCTTCGCTTCGCCGACACCAAGGCCCAGAAACTTCTCAAGCAGCAGAGTAACGAGCGCCGCGCCTATCGTGCTGGCGAATACAATTATTCGGTCGAGGTAGTTCAGGGTTCCACTCCATCGCCTTCTATTAACCGTCTTCAGCAGACTGCATCTCACCTCAGCCCCAATTCGCAGGGTAGCTATGTGTCACCTGTTGGCATGGGCGCAGCTTGGACTCCTGCTACGTCCATCTCCCCATCGTATGCACTGATGGACCCTTCCCCGTTCGGGCTCTACTGACAGGACAAGCAGGTATTTGGCGAAGGGTCAGGCTAGCAACATGAGGTTCAACTCGTGGACTTCCCGCAACGGACCAGGAGGTCTGGAGAATACACCTTTGTATCGTGGACGACGTGGAGTGTGGAATGAAAATTCCTCGGGCTCTTCCTCCAAGGCCAATTTCGCCACTCCCACCGCGTCTTGCGTTGAATCTCGTTCGGAACGATCCAGCCCTCGTAAGGAGATCAAGGCAGGATCCTTGTCTCCGATTTCCTCTCGCAGGGAGGTTATTGTGACTTCGCCTCGGTCGGTCGTCTGAGTGATGCTTGGATTGCAGCACCGTGGTTTTGAAGTGCCCTAAGTCCTCCATACGTACGCATCCTCTCTCTTCCCAATGTTTCCTACAAACACCAAGTGTTGCAACTCTTAGGAGCGACTTTTGGTATTTGCACGGCTCGCCTTTTTGCCCTTCCATGAAGCATCTTCGACGAACACAGCAGGCTGTCCAGCTATCCGTCAGAGCCCGCATATCTTACAATGGTGCATGGTTGACTAACATATGATTTTGTTTCCCCTTTTTAACTGTTGCCCATTTCGAAGTTTTGTGCTGGTTTCGAGCTTTTGTAGGTTGTATGGGTTTTGTTATCTGTTCTTGATTTCTTGATGACACCAGTGATTCTATGATTCGCAGAGTGATGCCGATTTAAAGGTCTGTATCTGTTACCGCTGGACCCTGGAGGCCCAAGGTTTACGGCGAGAGGGAATTCACAGGTTGGGAGGACATAAGTGGTACTTTAGCATTTGCCTAGCCATGCATGTTTAGCTCTTAGCATCAAGTTATCAGCGCAGTCTACAATTTGTCAATGGAAAGCGTTATGCAACTGCGACCATCACGGTGCCGAATGTAAGCCAAACAAGTTGAAGACACGCAGCCAGTGTATGCATCTATCGGATAGTAATGGTGAAACACGAGAGAAGAGAGTGAAACGCTCAGGAGTGACATGCGGGGAAACACATCGGTATAGGAGGGGAGGCAAAGAGTACATAGGGTCTGACTCCAAAACAGGTCTATACACGGAGAAGGGAGCATATTGAGCGGACGACGAGTATCCTCGACTCCGACAACGGCCAAAACCAACATCGACACTACCACAGACAATCAATTGCGTCCCAACCGCTCCTCCAAATCCTCCGTCAACTCATAAGCAGGCCTATACCGCCCCTCCTCCACCCCCTCCTTAGCATCCTCACCATCCACCTCGACCCTCAACTTCGGATTCGGATGCGTATCCGCAGTACCCCCCAAACTCGTATACCCTCTATCATAAAGCCCACAATACCTCAACCCCAAATGGCGAATAAAGGCCCAAATCTCCGCATAATGCCAATCAATCACAGGATGCACGCGCACAAAATCGGGCCACCCACTATCCGTGCGATCGAAATGGGTCAATTTAGCACCATGGGGATCCGTCCGTCTCGTGCCGACAAAAATCGCTTTCACTCCCGGGTTGACGAACAGGTAATCCTCAAAGGTGGATTTGATTGTTGAGCGCGGCGGGTCCGTCGTGTACTTGAGTACGTTGAGATGGTATGCGCGGGCGGACCATTGGACGAATTCCTCGACGTCTGGGAAGGGGTCCGGCGGGAGGGCGTAGATCGCGGGGATGGAGGTGAGGCCGCCGTCTTCCGGGGCGGGGTGGGGGTGAAGGCTGGCGAGGAAGAGGACGAGGAGCACGAGACAGTCTTTGCCGCCGTTGTAGGAGAGGGAGAGCTCGTTGAGGGGGTACCGGTGGAGGGCGGTGGAGATGACGTTGAGGGAGGTGCGGGTTTGATGTTGAACTTTGGCCAGGAGGGAGTCGGCTGGGTGGGATTCGGAGAGGAAGGTGTGGATTTTGGTGTGGCAGTGGGTGATTATGCTGGATAGGGAGGGGGTTGTTGTGGGTGGGAATGTGGTTGTGGTGGTTGTGTCTGTGGTTGATGTTGTTGGTGGTGGTGGTGTTGATGTGGTGGTGGGTAGGCCATTGGGGGTGGGTGGTATTGAGTCGGTCATGGTGGGTAATTGATTGATTGATTGGTGGTCGTGGTAGGAGGGTGTTGATATGTATGTGTATGCGTATATATATGGGTGAGAAAAGGAAGAAGGGAAGTGAAGGAGTGAGGGTTGAGGTGGTTGGAGTAGTACTAGTTAGTAGCTAGGGTATGGAGTGGATGCGATGACTCGCGGGGGGTAACAGAGGGAGGGATTGATGTAAGCCGGTTGGCTGTGTGGTTTTTTGTCGGTAAAGGGTCCGAGGTGCAACGCAAGGGTGTTTGTCTTTCTATCGGGCGAGAATAGTGAAGATAAGAGGGACAATTATATAGGGATGAGACACATGCAATTCCAAACAATTCTTCAGAATGCAGCTCTCAGACACGACGGATGATTGCGGAGAGGCCACATGAACCCGAGCGATGGAGGGGAAGATAATAAAAAAGGCGCTGGAATGTTCTTTCTGCCCCGCATCGACCTTGACCGCTTTCTTATCGCGGCTGATATTATTCTTCTATGCAGGAAATCAAGTAAACAGCAGAGTTTATATTCGAGTGGATGACAATTGACGTCAAAAGATTGAGAGCTATGAGTAATGTGGCAGACAGCTACTAATAATCAATGGTATGAAAGAACAGTAGTGGTAAATAGCAATATAATCATGGTGATGTTATAATCACCAGTCCGTCCCGGGTGCAAATATATCCGCTCAACGCCAGTTGACCAAGTTGAAATACTTCTACCACTGCAAGTCTTGCAGGCAACTGGCACACCTGCCCAGTCTCACCCCAATACCTTCATCTTCTTTTTCTTCTTCTTGTCCCCATCCTTCTTCACCCCCTTCTGCCAATCTCGCCAGCTGCCTATGCGCTCCTCACGGCTATCTTCCCATGCTTTATCCTGGTCCCGTTTCCGCTTCCGCGCCTCCAACTCCTCTTCTTCCTTGCGCCTCTCCCGACCTTCTTCCTGAAGCTTGGCCTTGGCTTGTCTTCGCCGCCGCGCCTCTTCCTCTAAGAGTACCTGCACTGTCTTCTGGCGCCATTCTTTCTTGAATTCGTCTGTCTTTAGCTCTTCCGAGTCTAGCGAGTACTTGTGCTCGCGGATCAAAAGTCGTCGCGCGTCCGCGATACATTCGTCTAGGTATGTGCGCGACTTTTCGTCCATAAGCGCCGTGTGCGCTTTCTTGAGGCGATCAAAAGCATCGGGGGCGGCCGGATTCTTCGTCTTATCGGGGTGAATGAGAAGGGACTTTTTGCGGTACTGGACTTTAATGTCGGATTCGGGGACACCCGGTTGGAGATCAAGGACCGCGTAACTGGTAGGATAATCCGTCCGTCAGCCTCTTCATAGGTCTATAGCAGCATGCAAAGTAGGTGTAGTAGGAGGCCGGAACTCACGCGTCTAAGGAGAACGCCTTCCGAATGCGGTCAATTTCTGCATCCTGTCTAAAGTTAGTCTGGGTGGCATTGTAGTGGAAATATTCCGAGGAAGCATACCTTGACAAAGTCAGAGGCCTCACGCTCAAGCGCGTCCAAAGCATCTTGCTCATCGTCGGCCATGGTGACAGAGGTTGGGGAGTGAATGAAGGAATTCGCCGGGTCGGGACTGTCGCATGGCTGCTGAAAGGCACACGCCGATAAGCGCCGTCTTATCGCGGCGATGAGTCAGCAGGAACCCGCGAGGTTAAACTCCGAAGAGAAAAAAAGTTGCTTCACCGCCCGGGCCTTTCTTCGAGATTCGCTTTCTCTCCCCAGCAACAGTTCACTTTCGTTTGTCTGCTTTCCTTCGTTAGTGCTCATTTACGTGAGTATTTTTTTCTGGACGAGCCCATCATGGCTCCGATGAACGGTTCCCGCAATGGCAAACACTCGAAAGCTCAGCGCGGCGGTAACCTCAAGCGCAAGCGTGTCCAAGAAGATTTGAACTCTCTCATCAAGAGGGTCGAAGATTTGGATGTCAAGGAAACCATCGGACAATTCACCGATCTGCCTTTGTCTGAACCCACCGCGTCCGGACTTGCCTCGTCTCACTACAAAACCTTGACCGACATTCAGTCCCGTGCGATCAGCCATGCGCTCAAGGGCCGCGATATTCTGGGTGCCGCAAAGACGGGAAGCGGCAAAACGCTGGCCTTCCTGATTCCCATCCTGGAAAACCTATACCGCAAGCAGTGGTCAGAGCACGATGGATTGGGTGCTCTGGTTCTGTCTCCTACCCGCGAACTCGCGATTCAGATCTTCGAAGTCCTCCGTAAAGTCGGTCGCTACCATACGTTCTCCGCCGGTCTGGTTATTGGTGGGAAGAGTCTGCGGGAGGAGCAAGAGAGGTTGGGACGGATGAATATTCTGGTGTGTACGCCTGGTCGTATGCTGCAGCACTTGGATCAGACTTCTTTCTTTGAGACGCATAACCTGCAGATGCTCGTGTTGGATGAGGCGGATCGCATTTTGGATATGGGTTTCCAGAAGACGGTGGACGCCATTATCGGTCATCTTCCGAAGGAGCGCCAGACGTTACTTTTCAGTGCTACACAGACGAAGAAGGTGTCGGACTTGGCTCGACTGAGCTTGCAGGATCCCGAATATGTGGCTGTTCATGAAACGGCCTCCTCCGCGACGCCGTCCAAGCTTCAGCAACACTACGTCGTTACGCCCCTTCCGCAGAAACTCGATGTTCTCTGGAGTTTCATTCGCAGCAACTTGAAGTCCAAGACGATCGTGTTCCTGTCGTCAGGAAAGCAGGTGCGCTTTGTCTACGAATCCTTCCGTCACATGCAACCCGGTATCCCGTTGATGCACCTCCACGGACGTCAGAAGCAGGGTGGTCGACTCGATATTACAACCAAATTCTCATCGGCGCAACATGCGGTTCTGTTCGCCACTGATGTTGCTGCACGTGGTCTGGATTTCCCGGCCGTCGACTGGGTTATCCAGCTTGACTGTCCCGAAGACGCTGATACATACATTCACCGTGTTGGTCGTACAGCAAGATACGAGCGCGATGGTCGTGCCGTGCTCTTCCTGGATCCTAGTGAGGAGAAGGGCATGTTGAAGCGTCTGGAGCAGAAGAAGGTTCAGGTCGAACGCATCAACATCAAGGCCAACAAGCAACAGAGCATCAAAGATCAGCTGCAGAATATGTGCTTCAAGGACCCCGAGTTGAAGTACCTGGGCCAGAAGGCCTTCATCTCCTACGCCAAGTCGGTCTACGTTCAGAAGGATAAGGAAATCTTCAACATCAAGGAGCTGAAGTTGGATGAGTTTGCGGGCAGCATGGGTCTTCCTGGTGCACCCCGCATCAAGTTCATCAAGGGTGACGATACCAAGGAGCGGAAGAACGCGCCACGTGCTACGGCATACCTGTCCAGCGATGACGAGTCTGGCGAAGAGGGCGAGAAGAAGAAGACCAAGAAGGATGAGACGCAGGTGCGGACGAAGTATGACCGCATGTTCGAGCGTCGGAACCAGGACGTGTTGGCCGACCATTACCACAAGCTTATCAACGACGACGGCACGATTGTGGAGACGAACCAGGCTACTGCGGATGCGGATGAGGATGATGACTTCCTGTCCGTCAAGCGTCGCTTCGCTGCCGGAGACAAGGACCTGGATGTCGCAGGATCTAGCTCCGAGGATGAGGAGGATGCAGAGGACGGAACGGAGAAGAAGGGACCCAAGGTGGTACACCTTGATGGCAAGGATGCCCTGGTCATCGACTCCAAACGTCGTGAGAAGCTGCTCAAGTCGAAGAAGAAGTTGCTTAAGTTCAAGGGCAAGGGTACCAAGCTTATCTACGATGATGAGGGCAATGCCCATGAGATCTACGAAATGGAGGATGAAGAACAGTTCAAGGCCAAGGGCGACGCCAAGGAGCAGCAGGCGAAGTTCCTGGCGGAGGAGGCGGAGCGCACTCGGCAAGCGGATCTGGAGGACAAGGAAGTCGCCAAGCAGAAGAAGCGCGAGAAGAAGGAGAAGCGCAAGGCCCGCGAGCGCGAGCTTCTTGCCATGGAGGAGGAAGGAGGGGATTTGGTCCAGATTCCGTACAAGGAGGGCGGGCTCGCCTCGGACGAAGACGAGGAAGTCCTCCGGCCCAGCAAGAAGGCGCGGGTTTCCTTTGCAGACGAAGCAAGCGAGGAGGAGCCCAAACCCAAGAAGGCCAAGAAGTCTCAACCGGCTGGCAAAGCACCGGAGCAGATCGAGACTCTGGAAGATCTGGAGTCGCTGGCTGCGGGCTTGCTGGGGTGATTTTGAAGTGTATACATTATTATGTCTTTGGTGGATATATCCCTTTCTGTCTCAGTTTCTTTCATTGTTCATCAGCGGAGAGTGTCAAAAGTTTATGAGATTCCGGCAGCGTAGCCATGTACATAGCACGATACAATTATCCTTGGGGAAATTCCTTGATTGATTGATTGATTGATAGATTGTGGTGATATTGTAGTAACTATTATACTTAGGTGTAAAAGCTGCCTCTAAAAGGTAATGTAAGTATGGTTAAAGTTAGCCGAGCGGGTGGAGAACCCCAGGGCGGCAGTCGGCAAACCGTCTCTTCATCCCCAAGGATTCCCTTGCCCTTCCATTTGCTGTACGTAACACCAATCGAGCACGCCATCCGCTAAAGAGCAAATTTTCAGCGTCAGGATGTGATGGCGATATGAGTGTCATTCGCGGGGATGCACTCTTCCCTTTGATAACATCTATTTCGTTCATGCGTGCCATGCAGACACTACTGCTAGTATCTACAACTTAGATCACTAGTAGTTTCAGCTGCCACTTTTGACTGCCGGTTTTTGAGCTTCTCCACGGTGGATCACGTGGTGTCTCTCCTCCCAGTCTCCAGCACTTGCCTATTCGGGAAGAGCTCAACTATAAGGCTGAGATTGACTGGTTCAAATCTAAAATTCATCGGTGAGTCTCGGCATACTTCCGATATCTCCAATTGTAGGACATAGCTAAGCTAACATGGCCCTATTAGCGTCTAGATCACCACCACCATGGGTGTTCATGACATCGAAAAGCAACGCCCTATGGCTCCTGGCGAGCCCATGGCTGAGCGTAATGCCAAGGACCCCAGCACCTTAGCGACTGATTATCTGGAGCCAGAGATTCCATATGTCAATGCGAACAAGCTGGCCCGGAAGCTCTCTCCCCGCCAGGTGCAGATGATCGCCATCGGCGGCACCATTGGTACGGGTCTGTTCCTGGGAACGGGTAAGGCGCTGGCCACCGGTGGGCCGGCGTCGATGCTAATCTCGTATACCATCTGTGGTGTCATTGTGTTTATCACCATGTTGTCGCTGGGTGAGATGGCGGCGTTTATCCCTGTTGCGGGTTCGTTTTGTACTTTTGCTGGGTGAGTAGCTGGTCTTGCGGCTGTGAATGATGGTATGCTGATGATGAAATAGTCGCTTTGTTGATGATGCTCTGGGCTTTGCTCTGACCTGGAACTACTGGTTCAATGATGCGGTGTCGACAGCGTCAGATATTATTGCGCTTCAGTTGCTGTTGGAGTATTGGACGGATAATTTCCCGGGTTGGGCGATAAGCTTGATCTTTTTGGTTGTGGTTATTGCGCTGAATATGCTGTCGGTCAAGGTTTATGGCGAGGTCTGTCACAGCTCTCTAGTAGACTTTCATATGCTGACCATCTCCAGGTTGAATACTGGCTTAGTCTTCTCAAGGTGGTGACTATCATCGTATGTCCCCTACTTCTACTAAAAATTCACTCCATACTAACAAAGCTAGATCTTCATCATCCTCGGCATTGTCGTCAACTGCGGTGCAAACACCCAGCATAAATACATCGGCAACAAGTACTTCTACACCGGCGAAGCCCCCTTCGTTGGAGGCATCGGCGGCTTCGCCTCTGTCTTCGTCACTGCCTCTTTCGCCTAGTACGTTAACCTCCACCATTCAACCAAGCCACCTACTAACCAACTCACAGCGGCGGCACCGAATCCATCGCCATCACCGCCGGTGAAACCAAAGATCCCGCCAAGAACCTCCCCCGAGTCGTCCGCAACGTCTTCTGGCGCATCATCCTCTTCTACATCGTCTCCATCGTCCTCATCGGCCTCGACGTCCCCTACAACTACCCGAACCTATCCTCCGAAACCACCGCGACCAGCCCCTTCACCATCGTCTTCGTCGAAGCCGGCAGTGCCGTGGCCGGCAGCTTCATCAACGCCGTGATCATGACCAGTGTTATCTCCGCCGCCAACCACGCCCTCTTCGCCGGTTCCCGTCTTCTCTACACCCTCGCCGTAGATGGCTACGCGCCACGATTCTTCGGCCACCTGAACCGCTTCCAAGTCCCCTGGGTAGCAGTCCTCGCCACCTCCGTAATCAGTGGACTTTGCTTCGGAGCGAGCTACATTGGCGCTGGCCAACTATGGTCATGGCTGCAAAAGTATGCCCCCCCTCCATCTTTTCCAAATAAACCCATCAAATATTAACATTATTTAACAGTATCGTCGGCGTCTCCAACCAACTCTCCTGGACCTTCATCGGTCTCGCCTCCCTACGCTTCCGCGCCGCCATCCGCAAACAGAACCTGGAACATCTCCTCCCGTACAAGAACTGGACGTATCCCGTGGGACCGATTCTCGCTATCGGACTGAATGTCATTTTGATTCTGGTGCAGGGTTGGTCCTGCTTTAGTCCGCATTTCAAGGCCGTGGATTTCGTCTCGTATTATATTGAGTTGCCGATTATGTTGGTTATGTTTTTGGTGTGGAAGTTGGTGAAGAGGACTAAGTTGGTCAAGTTGGAGGTTATGGATTTGGTTACGGATCGGTGGAATTTGGAGGTTGTGGGGGGGAGAGAAGTTGAGGATGATGATGGGGTGGGTAGTAGTAATGGGGATGGGGATGGAGGGTTCAGGAGTGAGAAGGGGGTGGTGGGGAAGGTGAAGAGGGTGGGGATGTGGTTGTTTTTGTGATTGAACCTTTTTATTTATTAGTTAATATATTTGTTGGTTTGTTAGATTGGAGGAGGATGTTGGTCCTCCGTAATAGATAATGATTATGATGACAACTACTACCATGCAGTTAGCATGCAGTTAGGTAAAGAAACGAGACTAGACGGAAATACCAGAGAATCTCTCATGCAAGAATCAAACACCAAAAGCCTCCTTTTATAAAAATAATATATACCGGAGAACTTGAGCAAAAGACCCCATGTCTGCCAATATCAACTCCAACCAAGTATCCCAACCCCAACTCCGTCCACACCATCACACCAAGCAATAGCCCCAACACCGTAGTAACAAGACAAACCACCCCAAACCCATCAATCCATCAATCAAGCAACCCCTCCCACCCACTCATCTCCCCCACCACCCTCCTCACAAACCTCTCCAACCCCCCAGCACACTTAACATACACCGTTCCCTGCTCATTAAACAACCTACAATTCCCCAACACCAACTTCAAATCCCTTATCAACTGCTCCGGACCCTCATACTCATCCCTCTCCAACTTCTCCTCCATGGTCCCCAAATCCATCGGCTGCTCAATCACCTCATAATACTCCGGCACTTCGTCCCTACTCACAGGACTCAGAAACGGCCACGCCTGCTTATGATTCCTGACCTCATTGAGGAACCGTCGCATCTCATTAAACTGGGGTCCGTGGCGGCGGTGTTCGCGCGAGAAATCGTCCATGCTTGGCGACCAGCCTGTTGCGAGGATGGCGGGGATAGAGAGGGGATTGGTTATGGGTGTGATTTTCATTTTCCATTGTTTAGGCGGTGCGTGGACGATATGGTTCCTGCTCAATGCGCGCATTTTCGCTAAGACTGTTTCTTTTTGCTTGAGTAGCATACGTTTGACCTCTAGGTATCGGATCTTAGGCAGCATCGAACACTGCATTAGTGTCCCGCCTACGTAGTCCTTGATATATCCCATCCAAGTTGCCTTCGGCAGGGTGATTTCCTTCGTGAATCCTTGTTTTTGGAAATACCCTGTCGCGTAGTTGTCTGCGTACGTGAGAAAATGCATGACTGGCCCTGTGGCGCGGACGTAGTCCTTGAGATGGGCCATCAGGTGTGCGCCGTACCCTTTTACTTGTTGGTGGGAGGTCACAGCGCAGAAGACTATTTCGGCGAATTTCCGTGTGCGGAATTCGCGGAATGTGATGCCGCCGAGGACTTCTGGGTTCTCGTTGTGGGGGTGAGGTTGTTGTTGTTGTTTGATGAAAGCGAGGGAGAGGTGGGTGCGGTCGAAGACGAGTCGGGTGATGTAATCTTTGGGCATTTTGGGGAGTTGTTTTTGGAAGAGACATTTTAGCCCCGTGAGGATTATGGTGCTTTGGGGGTGGGAGTCGTTGTTGACTACGATGTAGGAGATTTCGTGGTTGCGTTCTTCGTGGATGGAGGGCTGTGTTATGTTAGTTTATACTGCGTAGTACTATTGGGGTTATATATATGTTGAGAGTGGGAGTGGGTTTGATAGTATTAGTGATGGCTCACCTTTTCTGGAAATGGGATGATCTGCAGTGGTGTTGATGATGCTGCTTCTTTTCTGTCCGTGTACTCATCGTGTATATGCACATGAACGCTTTTGGTTTTTTTTGGTTTCCCGGGCGGTGGTGGTATCTGGTTCTTCGATCGCGGTTCGCTTTATGCCGCTTGAGGCTGGGGAAGTCGATTGCGATGAGGGGGTGCCCATTGCTAGTTTGTTGTATGTATGTAGTCGGATATTATTTCCGATGGAGATAGTATACGTCGTAAAGAGTAGCTCAGTTCTGTGGAACAGTCCAACCCTGTTCTTCTCTAAAGGTGAGATGCTGGGATGCTCCCTATAGAGTGAGTGTTGCGGGCGCGTCCGAGGGCGGGTTGCAGTTCAACCTCGTCAGTTGAAGATGACTTGTTGAGACGTGAATGAGTTTTGAAGTACAAGAGGATATAGAAACATTAGCATGGTGTGTATAATGGTCTATCTTAGTAGTGGCCTTCGATCGAAGATTGAGCGGAGTAAAGCAGGGATATAACATTAGTGGCCAGGAATCGGTGGTTGCAGCTCTCCAACTGGACAATTGTAGAGGACGAACACAATAGGCTGCCTGGCACATGATACATCATGTGATGGCAGAATACGAATGTCCAATACATTTCTGTTGATTAGCCACAAGCTCATGATCAGCTATCGCGATATCATTTACTCCCTAAATAATTGGATTCAACTACGGCACACATCATTACAAGTCGGTAATTTCTCGAACAAAAGTCATTTTACACCACAATTCTATAACACTAAGGGAGTACCCCTTCCTGTTTAAGCTGTCTCCTCCGTCTTCGTGACAATCTCAGTAGTATGATGTCTTCTCCTCACTCTTCCTAAAGCATCATGCTCCCGATCCCATTCCTCCACCTGCGCCTTTGGCACCCTGACCAACTTATGTGCAGTCGCATCACCTCCGACATTGATAACCGTCTGACGAAGCTCGTATCCGCCTACCCGGGGGAGGATCTTGATCCAGAGGTAATAGTAGACTCCGCAAGCGGCGATACTGTCGATGTCACATGTTATTAGCGATGCTGTTCGACTATGATGAAACCACAGAGGTTATCAAACGGTAACTCACATTGCAATCCCCACAACACAGTACGTCGCATACCAGAAGCTGACGTCTCCACCATCTGCTCCGGTGGACGGGGGGTACCATGGCGCAACGAGCATATACAGACTCGAGAGAATAGCAAAGTAGACGGACACAGTCCAGGCTCGGTAGCCAGATGGAGGGAGGTTGAGTCGCTGGCGCCGGTGTCGAGTGATGAGGATACCTATTGCCAGAAGAAAGTTGAAAGCGTTGCTTGGATAGATGGCCAAGTCGACGACTATATCGCAAAGATCAGATATGTGCGAAACAGTAGCAGTTAGGTACGTACTGAAGTTAAAGGCATCTCCAGCTGGAGGCGCGATGATCATAATGACCGTGAGTGCCCATTTGATGAAGTAGGGCCCGAGGGGCGTTCCAAAAGGACGAGTCGAGGTCCAGAATTCCGTAAAGGGAAGAACACCTTGTCTGTACCAGACACATGTTAGAACGACGACAGCTGATTTGATGGGATATGACATACCGTCCACATTCTCGCAGCATACGGGACTGGCCGATCAGCACAGCCAGAAGGTTACCCAGCGCGCTGAGACAGACCAGAACATTCAGAGCTCTGGAAGCCCCTGATGTGCCAAAAACCTTTTCGAAGAAGAGACTCGCTGCTGTGACATTCGAGTTCAGGATCTCCTCTTTGCTCGCAGCGGAGAAGTAAGCAATGTTGGCGAGGATGTAGAGCACGGCTGTAAGAAAGAGGGCAACAGGAGCACTCCAGCGAAGGGTTTTGACAGGATCCTATGGTATATCACGTTAGTGCGGTGGTAACAGACACGAAGAATGATTGCCTACCTTAACCTCATTGACAACATTGCAAGCATTCTCGTAACCGGCATACGAAAACATCACTTTGACCAAAGCGTTGGTGGCCCCGTACACCGATGCGCCAGAGGTTCCTGAGAAAGCATCGCGGAAGTTGACCAAGGGGTCCTTCACTGGGGTATGACCTCCCAGGACGACGAGGCCAGCGATACCAATACTGTCTCATCAGTCTCGATAAACTAGAGAGATGCGTAGTACACGTACAAGATCAAAGTGACTAGCTTGACAACACCGATAGCATTGGCCACCCAAAGAGACCATTTCGTGTTGAAAGCCAGCACTGACATAATTAGTCCAGTCCATAAATTCTCCCAGGGCAGTACATACTCAACACAGCCACGGTATATGCCGCCACGGCAACGCCTTTTTCTTTCCATGCAGTTGTATCCGCGTCCGCGAGCTTGAACAGATATTCTGCAAGTACTGTAACACCAACAACATTAGCTCTGAACATGTACTGGCTGATCAAACATCATACCAACAGCATTACTGCTACTGAAAGAGAACAGCACAGTCTGCATTGCAAACACCGTCGGAAAGAAGTATCGCGGTCTGGGATACGCCTGCTCCAGATATACGACTTCCGAGCCAGACCGACTAGGAAAATATGACACGAATTCCATATACACGGAGAGCATGCTCGCCGCCATGAAGAAGCCGATGACCCAGTAGAAGAGACTCAGACCGACAGATCCGGCACCGTCGAGAACAGTAGATGCTTGATACCAGCCGTTAGCATTGTCGTCCACGCCCAAAGCTCATCTGGCCTTGGAAAGATGGGAGGAGTACTCACGCGTCGAAAAAACACCTGTTCCAATCATTTTACTCAAATTCAGGAAAATAACCGTCACCGCACCTACGGAGTATCCCAGAGGTGACTTTGACTCGATCGGAGCACCACTCGCCTCCTGGTACGTGCGCTTGGAGGAGTTAGCCCCCCCATCGACCGTATATTGTAGACTGCCATCGTCAATAACACTGAGGGTGTCGCTAGCCTGCTCCGAGGTCGCGCCCGCTTCCTCTGCTTTCGTTGTGAAGGGTAAGAAACCCATCGTGTAGGAGTATGCGTCGGAAAGTCAAATCGCCGATCTTTGATAACCATATCCCAGAGATACCCTGCAGCTCTAATATAGCTCTCGCGATGTCAGGGGACCTGGAAATATGAGGTGGTACATGCACGATGCTCATTGCGGGATGCAATGGCGTGATTCTTGCCGGCGATTATCATGCATGTTCGTGGTGAAGATGACATGATAAGCTGGATGAGGTGCTTGATTAGCTTCCGATTTGCGGGGAAGAAGAGGCAGTGTTTGTATTGTATATTTCGGTTCCTGTGGTTGGACAGCAAGATTGTACCTGCGTTTTATGATGGTGTTGAGTGGGAGAACTATATCTACATTAGTAACTTGGTTGAGATCAAGAAGAACCATGGTTGCAAATTGGCTGACCTTGGTGATGGCAGGAGAGTAATTGCTTAACTGCACAGGTACATCACAGTAATGTTAGAGGAAGAAAAAAGAATACGAAGATGCTAGTCCAGTAGCTGGTATCAAGCGTGCCGAGAGAGGAGGAGATGGAGGGAGACGAGAGGAGGGCGATTGCACGATTGCCGGCAGCGATGACAGCATCTGGCCCGGCCCCCGTGCAGCCACTAAATCTGCCCAGGTGTTGCCATTTCGACTTTTTCTTTGCCGGTTGGCATCTGTCAGGCTGCATTAGTCTGATCCGATCGGCGCGATAACAGTCGTCTGTTATTCTTTGTCCGGGTTTCTCGTAACGTGCCATAGTGGAGGTATTTGCCTCATGTTGTCCGTGCAAAGGTAGTAGCCATCCATCGCTCGCCATTATTCTGTGTCACTCAATGCTTCATAGATAAACGCTAGATGTGAATTAAATGCTGAAATATCAATTTAAACAAATTCTAAGATAATATGACATGATAGAAAAGGCAGAAACAAAACAAAGCAACTACTGCCGTCAATACTTGCAGGGCATATTCGTATACTCTAGATAGCCATCAGCTAACCCCAATGCCTCTTGTCATCGATGCGCAGATTGCCTACTTGACAAAGCAGTAAGGGCACTACGCCATGTCTTGCTCCACATCCCGGATACATTCCACCGCTACCGTATACAAAGACCCGCGGCGAATGGCATCATACGCGATGCCAACCACGTCGCCCATCGTAGGGAGGGGCGGTGGCGTCGCTTTATTATCCGGTGTCTTGGCGGAATCACTTGGGCGCCAGAGTGTGCCCTCGACTATGAAGGGAAGCTTCAGGTTCTGTCGAACATATGTATACATCTTCCGCGACGCCTCCCCAAGGTAAGGGGTGGCATCTGGACACCTACAATAGGCCTCACGTGTCTTGCAATATGTCTCAGCCGCCTGGGAGCCTAGGCGATCAATCCATGTCTGGATTATGCCTGGTGAGGAAGTGCTGGGTGGCAATGCCGTGATGAAAATAGGCAGAATGGCGCGAGCGGCTTGATGGAATCGACTGCACGAGTCAACGGACTGTAGCTGTTCCACTTGCTTGGCAAAGGCATCCCAGGCTTCCTTGGAGAGAGCCAGGAGGTTCCTGCTGGGCACAGCGTGAACTTGAAAGCTGTCGCTGAACAATTTAATAAAGTCCTGTTCCAGAGTTCGCATGAACTGGATATTGATCACACGGAGGTCGAGAGCCTGGCAGATAGCCACGAGATGGGCAGCTGCCATTTGCGACAAGACAGCAACCGCGTCCAAAGTGTAGCGACTCGATATCAGTGCGAGCGAGTTCAAGGCCTGATTTCCCATTTCGGCTGTCTGGACATGGCTCCCGATAGGATTTGCGAGGAAGCCTAGCTCCGACTGTAGCGCAGCGATCATGATGTCTACACCTTTGAACGTGAAGGACACGCTAGGCTCGTCGGCAGACAGGTTAGGAGGTAATCCGTTGTTCTTGGATGAATCAATCAGCTCAGTGCATTGCGCGTAGAGCATACGGCCCATGGATTGAACGGCCAGCCTGGTCTTCTCCATGGCGCTTGTGACTGACTTCGCTTGGAAATTGCCACCGTGTAGGATGCGAGCATTATCACCAGCCGTATCGATGAGAGGGTTGTCTGTTACCGAATTCAGCTCCATCGTAATCTGCTGATATGCTAGCTCCAAGTCTTCAAGAAGCGGACCCATCCATTGCGCAGATGTGCGAATCGAGTACCGATCTTGTCGTAGGCTTCCCTGTCCGAACTCATCTCCGTCATTGAGCAATTTCGAGCTGGAAAGGAATTTCCACAGATTACTGGCAGCCGTCGTTTGTCCGGGATGAGGGCGAACTCTGGCGAAAAACGGATCGAAGCTTTCGCTAGTACCGTGCAAAGCTTCGACACTCATTGCTGCAAGGATTTGACTCAAAGCAGCGAGGCCAAGGGTTTCATGCAAAGCCAGGCCACCCACGGCTGCAGAGGTCGCAGTTCCGTTCACGATTGCCAGGCCTTCTTTCGCATCCAGACAGACAACTGGAATAGAACTCTCTTTAAGGGCAACGTCAGCCCCTTTCACTTGGCAATCGCGACCACGCTTCCAAACGTGGATGGATGGGTGCCCTTGCATCGCACCGCCGATGTATGATAGTGGGCTGAGATCACCAGAGGCAGATATACTGCCTCTCAGCGGAACTCGGGGCGTGATATGTTGCTCTATCATCTGGAGCAGCACATCCAAGACGGACTGCCGGATGCCGGAATATCCTGAAGCAAGGCAGTTCAATCGGATAATCATGGTTGCTCGGGTCCAAGACTCCGGCATGATGGTCGCGGAAGTTGGGTCGTCAAGGGGCAGGACATCGTCTTTCTGCTCCTCTGCAAGAACTGGGCTTGATCCATCTAGTTTGACACCAGCCTGAAGCATCTGCAGTAAATTTTCTTGAAGCTTATTTACGGCATCGGTTGTTGTATCGGCACTGCCGCCAAAACCCGTATTAACGCCTGTAGCATGTGAATATCTGTCGACTGGTGCAACGGAAAAGCAAGGGCTAACCGTAAATCAGCTCCCCATCCGCCAAATGTTTCCTCAACACCGCTTCCGACCGCTGCACTTGCTTGCGGGTGTTTTGTGAAAGCGAAACGCGTTTCCCATATCTAAAAGCCTGTTAGCAGCGCAGCAACAGCTGCCAGATCTCTCCAGCTCCATGGGAGCATAAGGAAAATGGCGACATACCGGGCACCAGCCACAACAGTAGCTAAGTCCAAAGTTTTGCCATCCAGGTCGCGCCCAATATCGTTGGAGGAGAGGGCGTTGTTAAGGGCGGTCCAATGATGGATGAGCAGAGTATTCATTTTCTAGACACCAGAGAAAATGTCCTTAGTACCCAAAGAGATATTGAGGATGCGCTGGTTGAGTTCTAGAGAGTCGGGCCTGCGCTTGAATATATACTATTGGAGGTTACACGTCAGATGGTACACGTCGACTCCATAAATTGGAAGGGGTTGCCGATTACCTTACCACAAGGAGCTCCCCACAGACACATTCCAGTGCTATGCGCGTCCGATTCACCGAGAAGAAAAGTGATAACAACGCCGTCATACAAGGGAGATCGAACTGAGAAGTTGTGATACACGATCTAGATAGCTGGAAACGTGGACATATAATCATCACGGATCGGCAATAGATCTCCGGCCCGTGGGAGCAAATCGTAAGATGGATCTCAGACGCGCGTGGCAGTGTGGTGTTGGCGCCATCCCTGCAACCCAGCCAGGAACAGTCTGCAGATGTGCTCGAAACAGACAAAGACTGGACGTCATAGGCTTTTTAGAGTATAATGTACAAGTGCGACATGAATTGTTGGGCCTGGACTACCGCACGGTCCCTGAAGCTCGGTAGCCTGGCTTAGACGCCAGACCAACAAGACCCTGAGCCGATTTGTGAACCGCGCAGTTACGTAAATAGAAGAACGGTGGTCGCCAAAGATAGATCAATCACCTAGTAGGTTCGACGGCCTAAACAAGTATCAGTGAGAAGTTATGCACGGCGTAACTGAATTGTTCCGTGAGACGCGTGCAGATGACAAGCAATGGAGAACCCATTGGCCACAGAAGCGCAGCCATAGAGCAATCCACCTTCTGCAGCCCAACCATATCATTATCATCGGAGAGATCACCAATGACGCATTACTTCAAGTAGAAGAACACGCATGCTGAATAAACGGATTCTTCAACTTCAACCGAAAGGAAAATAAAGTTACCGGAAGGTGAAACAGAACCGCCTTCCCGGTCCCGTGATGACGATAGTAAAAGATTATTTAGCAAGTAGTAGTACTGGAAGTAGCGGATGATCTAGACCTCCAACTAACATGCCACATCCTTACTTCAGCTTGCTCCAATCGACATTCTCAACCAAGTTTCTGCAGACGAACCCACTTGGTCATGTCTTGTTCTTATAGGTTATTGGTCTCGCGACTGTAGCACACTGTGCAACCCCTACTGTGAACCTCGGCCATGGAGGGTGCGATCGGATATTCCTTCAATTTGCATCATTTGGCAGACAGGTATGGAAATGAATCGGAAACCTTCTTCAGTGATTTCATTATCTGGGAAATCGCGCCTCCTTGCCTGGACCTCCTTTGTGATTGGGCCCATGGCTCTCGGAAAGAGAACTCTAAGTTGGCATCTCCGGCCATTCAGGGGAAGGATCTGTACGGTACTCACTGTATACTTCCCGTGAAGATTATTTCCAGGGAGGAGACTGGTGGGGGAGGATTCCTTCTCCGAACGAACAGTTGGCCGTCATCATGGGATGAGAACTTGGCCATGGAATGCAATGTTACGTCTACAGTAAGCAATCGGCTTGACGAGTTAAACTTCAAATGAAATCTCAGTATTTTCACAGTCATGACCTGTACTGTGGTATCTGCCCTGCAGCTTCAGTGCCGAGTGTAGACGGCATCGCCCGCAAATTATTAATACATCCAATTAGTTTTCCTCCTTCCCATTTGCCCCCAACAAATACTTAGTAATGAAGCATCAAGCTGATGATGATGATGATGATGATGATGATGTGATGTTTGGACTCCACCGAACGCCTTCTATGACGATGACCAAAACATTCAAAAACCCCCAAGGTATATGGTTAAAGAAAGACAGATGCACGCTATGCAGCAACAGATCAAGAAATAAAGAAGGAAGCGATGCCTGTATCCATGCGATGTGACAATATTTGACAAAGGAAAATGGTGAACGTAAATCGACGGGTCATGTACTTTTTCTTCCAAAAAAGAAAACAAAAAAATGAGAGATTGTATGCACGGTGTATGAGACAAAGGAAATTGATGTGAGTAGATGTGGGGGAGGGAGTCAATAGGTCAGCGATCGAGATTGAGCACACATGACACAAAGGAAAGTGCACATTAAGATCGTTATCTTCGTAGTTCCTGCTACAAGCCTCAATGCTTCAAGGACAGCGTAGCTCCTCAAGCGATTAGAAAAGAATGGGGTGTGCATGTCTCGATCGGGACCTTGGTTGGTAGGAGGTATAATGCGAAGAACAACAACTTAGTCGTTCACCATGTCATCCAAGGCCATTTTGCGCCGCTTGGCTGGTCTGTTGCCCTCGGTGTCCGCCTCGTTCGTTGATGGGTCGTCGGAGGGGGGTACAAGCGACATGTGCATTGCGTGTCTCTCTGAGGTTGACGCAGGTCCTAACTGCCGAGGGACGGGCTCCCCATACCCCATGTCAGATGCGGCGTGTCGCATTTGACTGCTAGGCGACAGTGGGTCAATGAAACCATGCGAAGGCATTTGTTGCCGGTGCTCCTGCTGGAGAAACTCTTCTCGCGTCCGCGGCGACCAAGCTCCTGGATACGGATCGCTCAGGCGATGCCCTTGCGACGCCGAGGCCGGTGTTCCCATCGTGGGAGGGTAAATGGGAGGAAGCCTTACTGGCGATTCCAGATAGCCTTCCCGTGGATCTCTCGACATGGGAGATTCTCCCATTGGCATCCGATTTGACATCCGGGCGCTTTCTGGATAGGGCGAAATTGGAACAAAGGACTGTTGATACTGGGGCGGCGTGGTAGTAGGATTCATGCCTTGATGTGTGTAAGATGATAGTGGTCTTCCCATGCCCATGGGCATCCGTCCCGCTCCCAATGTAGGGTTGTACCCAACAGGCATCGGGACATACCCGGGTGGAGAAGCCGCCGTTATGGACTGTGCAGAGCCAGAGGAAGAAAAGCGTCTGTGCCCAACACTCCTCTGCATTATTGACGGGTCTATGGCCTGAGAGTATATGGGAGCGGCCCATCTCTGTGGATGTCCAGCCGACGCTCTCATGGCCATGGCGCCCGTCTGCGCCCCGGGCATCTGAAGATCTGTCATGGGGCGAATCTCACGCGAAGATGTAGCTCTGTGGAGGGTACGTCTTGATTGGGGGCCGTGCTGGTCTCCCTGTGTCGCTCGATTGTCCATATGAGCTGCATAGGTTCTGAGCGATGCTTCTTCCGCCTTCAATGGCGGCCTTCCTCGCTTCTTGTGCGTAACATCAACACAGGTGGCCTGCTCATGTCAGTAAAAGATCATATAAATAGCAGTGCGACTGAATCCGCTGCCTTTTCTTGGGGGCATCCAAGAGGTTCAATGCTATCCCTTCAAATACAGATAGGCCAGCGACTAGAGAGATATGATAATACTCACTTCTTTCCCTGACAGAACGCATCTTCGACATGGCCGTGCCGGATCGCACCCCAGGTGCTTCTTCTTACAATTCACGCATGCTGATGCAACATGGGCTTTGGTGCGTCGAGTGGGCTTTTGCGGCAAGGCTCGAGCCGTTGTACCGGGAGGGGACGTTCCAAAGGAGGGTTGCGCATAAGCTGTTGGCGTGGCTTGTGGAATGCCCTGGCCTACCAGCGATGGTGGAAGTCGCGATGAGGCGAAAGCGTCGCCCACCGAAAAGGGTTGTCGCAGCACTTCGTCGGCTGAGGCCGGGGCCACACGTTGGGTCACAGACTCGTGAGTGGTGACGGCGCCAGCAGGTCCTGGAGGCAGGGCCGGTCCCGACAACCCCGCGGATACGGAGGTTGCAGCGGTCACGGTTGTCGCGGCTTGAGGCAGCTCTGGATGTCCAGGGCGCCTGATGGGTCCAGAAGTGTCCAGCGGGTCGTCTGCTGGAACCGAACCGGACATAGAGCGAGGGAGAGGCAGATCCCGTGGGGGATATCGACGAGCATTTGTCGACCGAGGCAAATTCAACGGCAGCCGCTCCGGGCCCGGATCAAACCTGGGGTGTCCAAACTCTGTAGCGATGAAGGAAGAAGGAGGAAGGACTAATGATTGCATCTGGTAAACCTTGGTCCCGTTGACAATGGAATCACTGGGGGGAGGATGGGTTCACAAGAGTGGAAGGCGATCTGGTTCGGATCTTAAAGTAGGCAACATAGTATCTGGTCCTCAGGGCCCTTTTTGATTCTTCAGTTCGTATAGTACTATCCTTGGGTTGCGGTGTGTTGTTCAGTTGCCAGTCATCATTGAAACCTCACGCTTGCAGGTCCGGGAGGAGCACAGGGAGCTTATAATCAGTCAGTTAAGGATCACTATTGGAGGAGTCAGAAACTAGGATGCGTCGATCAGCAGAGGGAAGCCAGATCGTGACAGCAGTTTTCCATAGCTTCGATGGTCCCCATCCTGGGATGATTTATTGCAGCATGGTGGGCGATCACTGGGGCCCAGGGAAAATGCACGGAATGGTCATGGGCGAAAACAAAAAAAAAGCAATAATTCAAGAAAGCAAAAAGCCAGCAGCCAGACAAGAAGCAGCAGCAAGAAGAACCAAGTTAGATGCAAATAAATTACACCATTTGGGCGTACCTTACCTTTCAGTACACCGATGAGCGTGTAGGGCTTAATTCTTTTTTTTATTTTATTCTATTCTATTTCTTTCCTTTTTCCCTTTCTTGAATTTGTTTCTTTTTATGATTTCTTCGCTATTTATTATTTTCCTTTTCCTTTTCTGACTTACTCAGTTTTCCTGTCCATCTTTCCCCCCTCTTTCCTCTCCAAGGTAAATAATGGTTTTTTTTTTTTCTTCTTTGTTAATTCCCTCTTCAATAATCTCGTATTATTTTTGCCTTTTTTCTGTTTGCCCGGATAAGATTTTTCTGAATAATTCAGTTGAGAGGTAAGAAGTATGAACTGGCCCAACCCTCCCGCGAACGGCCAAAATCGCGGGAACGGTGAACTATACCGGAAAGTGAGGCGTAAAATCCCGATGGGATCTCACAGTCTGTTACCAACACACAGAGGGAAGAGATGTCAGAAATTGAATATATAAAATAAAATAAAAT